AGTATACAAGACCGGTTTGCCACGCCCCCCCCCCCCCAAAGTCTGGATGCACCACCCCTGCGTGACCATCACCGTCATATCACCAGACATTGTAATCGGCCCCCGACTCTTCCGAACGCTCCGAGTCTGGAATGCAGAGGTTTAATTACTCGGTCGTGGTTACATTGAACGACCTGCCGGTAAGTATCCGTGCAATGGACCCATCGCGTCTTAAGATCGAGGATCGAAAAAACACGATACGGAGACAGCGAGATACCGATCAGGTCACTTATCACTCTGTATATATTACCATGCTTGACCGAGTGTACGCTTTGTGCTGTTCATGAGCGCTATTCACTTGATCCATCGCATCAAATATTGTCTGACACGAGGTCCAGAACAGCCATATCATGCGAAGCTGCTTCACGACCTGCGCAGATAGAAATGCAGAACCAGCAAGCCTTCAAGAGTTCAGGGTCGCCATCAGCCTTCAGATGGGACTCATCACATTCGAGAAGATCAGCCGGCCGGTCGGCACATGCGCCAGGACTACCTGCCGCACGTGCGGCACCGCCACGGCGCCCATCTGGAGTTATTTCTGTTCGGCCGCGATGGATGGGTGTGTGGTAATTAATGACTACCACTGTTGATGATCGTGTTTTGCCGTTGAATTGGCCCTATAATGCCACCAGAGTCTGGTCTGTGCGATATATGCAACGGTCACTGTCAGTTGTCACTGTTTAGGAAGACACGGGTTGAGTTTTATCTCGGTTACCCTGCCGCATTCTGCGAAACTGAAGCTACTAAAAACTGCAGCGAAAGCGAGTTCTCCGTTTTCTGAAGCTGCACTTCAGTTCTGAAATGGTTATTCGCTGCGTCCTCCTGCTCTCCAGCATTGTTCTGTGTGATCTCGTAGTTTCACAACTTTGTTCGGAAATGATGTGTTACGGGGTGTAACGACAGCTCACGTCGTTTATGCAGCCTAGTATTTCACATGATTGATCGCTCCAATGCTTTTGCAGAATTCGCGACATTTGAGGGTAAAATATTATGGCTATCGTGAAGCCTGCGAAACCAAGATAGCGTAAGTTTGGGAGTGAGTTGTTGCATTTCCGCATCGGCTGCGATACCCGGGGTGTAAAAGGCGTGGATGAATTCGTCAAAACTAAGGTAATATGTTTAAGAAGTATGTTTCTAATAAACTTATGGGAACAAAACATTATAACATGCCTTTTTAACAGCCCAAAGCATATCAATTGCTATATTGCATCAATAGCGTCACATTGGTTCTGCAGGTCTGAATGTCACCGTAAACAGCCTTCATGTGAACAGCGATTTCGTTTTGGAGTGGGTGTCAACACCAATAATGCAAACAAGTAGTGGTGTTTATGAACTACCTACACGGAGAGTAGATGACTTGTATCATCTAGTTGCTAGAACTTGGAAGTGTATGATATAATGCACGCCGCTTGGCTAGCGAACAGGCTGTGAAAACGTGGACCAGATCAGCGGCCTGGCCTCAGCGGAATCTTGACTGGACACTTGAGGTGCCGAATATTGCACGTTACAAGAAAACGTGGGCAATTCACTAACCGCAACCCGCTGGCCGAAGTCTGCCTGCCATGCTCCGTGTCTTCTCCACCCGAGTGGCCCTGGCGTGTCCCAGTGATGTCCACACAGGGCATCCAGTCTTGCCGCGGGACCCCGAAACCCCACGTCATCGGACCAACCCTTTTCCCCTCCTCCCGCACGCCCTGAGGCTGGTCGCTCAGCGCTCCAGCCCGCCGCCCGCATCATCGGCTACCGCGCGATCGCGCCGCGCCAGACGCCGGCTCCATCTTCGGTGATCCTGCCTCGCCCCCTCCCCCGCCGGCGCCGCGCGTTCGCCGCGACAGCTGGTCTCGCCCGGCGACAAAAGAGCGCGTTTCCACTCGATACGCCCGCTCACGGTCCGCTCATTGACCGGCGCTATATTACTCGGTAATGCCCGCTAAGCGACGCACCGTGCCATGGAGAGCCGCGATGAAATGAGCCGCCCAGAGCCGGAATCGGGCGCGGCGGGTGTCGCTCCGACAGAGCGCCGGCCGGCCGGCCCCGACACTGTAACAGCGGGCCAGAGGGTTTGGGAGATTACGCCTTCTGTCGGCCTGTGCCGCCGAAGCCAGGGCATTCAGGTTCGCGGTGTTGCCGTGGTCGCCGAAGTCGTCAATCGCAGTACGCGCCGCTTTCATGTTGGGGCGCGGTTGGTATTGCTAGGCTTCTGCTGTTACGGGAAAGCAGGTCTGTTGTATTGTCTTTGACAGCTGTTTTGAGAAAGACGTGTACTTACCTCATTAGTCATGAGTCATAGGACTCATATACGTAAGGCGCACATCCAACAGGGACCGGCAACAGGTGCACACATGCTCAAAGCTCGACACCTTTGTGGACTTCACAGGCATATGGATGGTGATATCGTCGGGAGATGGTCAACTGACCCCCGAGAGAATCGAATGATCCTGGTTGCATGGTCAACGGCGTGTGCATAATTTTGCAATAGGTTGGGGAGCCTCACTAAAACTTTCACTAAAGACCTGTTTTAGCGCGCCGCAGGCGCGCGAAGTTTCGTTGTACAACATTGCCTGTCTTCGATCAAATTTTGTTTACGTGTCTGCCTCCATTTTTTTTTACCTGTCGACATAAATCGCACGCATCTTAATGTGTATAGGAAGGTGATAAGGGAGAACGTGCCGCAGGGTCACCTTGAATACACCCTTGTCCATGGGCATCGGACCATAGAGAAAGTGAGGCACGCTTTCCCCAATCAAGTCGTCAAAAAACAACACAAAACAACGAAACTGTGTAAAAGATGAACACAACTGTCATTTCCTCATAGCGAGATTGTTGCTTGTTTGTCGGCATCTAAGTTCCCACCAGACATTCCACCGCTGGTGCCCAGTCGTTCAGAACAACATCGAGACACGTCCATAGACTGGGCCGCTGAGCCTGCCCAGCCCTGCCAGACAGAGCCCGGCCGCCGGCGGACCCACCGGGGGCGCCGGCCGCTGCCCGGTCCCCGCCGCAGCGCCGCTCGGCACGTGGCCTCCGTCGGCGCCGGCGGCGCTCCGCCGGGCCGCCGCAGAAGCGGCCGCGCTTCAAACGCCGTCCCCGCCCGCGATGCCCCGCGGCCGCACCGCCCGAGGCAGCCGCATGCGACCGTATTGACAGAGCACGCGACACAAAGCGGCGCCACTGTTGCGGCGAGGACAATATCTGCGGCGCGTCGCCCGCCGACGCCGTGTGCCAACAGCCGGCGGGCGTCGACTCCGGCGCCGCTGCCGGCCGCCGCCGCCGCAACGGCGCGGGCAAACAATCGCCCTCTCCAAATTACTAATAATGTAAATATTGTACGCGGCGGCGTCTTTGAACCGGTGGGCGGTGATTTTCCGGTGGGTGCGCGCCGGCGATTGGTTGGCGTCCGCACCGTGCGCCTCAATTCGGATTAACTAGGCAAACATTTGCCGGTGCGCCGTCGGGCCGCCTTTGAAGGTGACGCGGCCGGACTTGTCCGTCCCCGGAGTGGAGGCCGCGCTGCCGGCGTGGCGCCCACGTCTGATCCGCGCCCGCCCCCGCCGCGCTTCTGCGCCCGCTCCGCGCGGTTTTGGGCGCGACCAAACGCGGCGGCTCACACAGCGGCCCGTTCAGGCGTGACGGAGCGAGAGGAACGGGTCCTCGTCTGTCCGGGGGAGCAGCACTCGGGCTAGTTATGTCCGTAAGATAACAAACACGGTGAGTTTGCGCTCGCATGGCAATGTTCGGGCTTAACGACGTGGTTAACCCGTCCCTTCGCTATGTGGCAAGCCGGATAAGCCGGCTTTTCGTTGTCATTTACTGACAATGCACTCATCTTGTCTGGCCTCATTCCGTCGAGGAGGACATACTTTCGTAGTGGGTGGCGGTTCTTACCTGTCCCACTAACCAGGCATCACAAGGGCCGCTGCCTCAACAACTTAGTCCACTAACCAACTCCCACGCGTACCAAACTCTCCACGCACCGATCGTCCCGAATCCTGCGCTCTCAATGATTCCCCAAGTCGCTCCACGTCAGTGTTTGCCGTCTCTTTGATGACTCACCGCCTCAAACATCCCGGGGCCACCCGGCGAGACCGACGTCAGCAAAAACAAACAGCCGCGTTTTACCAGGGTGAGATCCGCCGCTGGCAGATCCTTTGAGGTTGACACAGTCAGCCACGGCCGCCGAGGACCGGCGCGTCCCGGCCGTGCGCCGCGCCGCGCCGCCGCGAGGTGCGAGGTGCCGACGGCCGCCGGACGCGGCTGCCAATTAGCCGGTCCGTGCGGCCGCGGCGCTGATGCCGGCCTGTCATGTAACGCTACACTCGTTCCGGCGCGGGCCGCCCGGAGAACGGGACGATTCTTTTTTGCCGGCCGGCGGCGCCGTTCTCCGCTGACGGCAGGGCGCGAGGTCCGCCGCGGCTGGGCGTGGCGGCGCGAAACGGGAGCCCCGGCGGACGCGCGGCAGTGTGCAGATGGGAGGTGCTGGCCGGTGGCCAAGGGGTGGCACGCGCAGGGTTCTGACCCGGAAAACGGAGAAGTTGGATTCATTCAAATTTGACGACGATTATCAGGTGCCCATATTGCGCATCTACAACGATAGGTTCCTGGCGTCGCAATTGCTGACGGTCGGTTGGCTATTGGGAGCGAAGCGGATCGGAAAATTGCGCCCCTTGAGCCGCGGAACACAGGCACCAGTCGCACCAATGGCCGTCTTTTGGCGGGGCCACTGTTTTGCGGTTACCATATCAGCAGAGCAGCGCAGCGGCTGCCACCGGTACCGCATCATTTGCACTGAATGGATGACCTTTACAGCGTGTCCGATCCGCAGCGTTCTGGCAGGCTCAGCTGTCAAACCGAGCGCGATGATTGGCTGGTCAGACGCCAGAGAGCGCCACCGGTCTGTAATCAGTACCTTGGACGTCCGCTGCGTCCAGTGGGCCTACGACCCACCGCCGGGACCGCCGCAGGTGCGCCATCAGCAGGCCGACCTCGTGCGAGGTGTAGGCCGTGGCGTACTGTTCTGGACTGTGGAGCAGAATCCACAGACTACAGACGAATCGGTGCTTAGGAGAGTCTGTGACTCACTCACCAAGGGATAGTTCCCTATTCAGTTGAGTTGGCTGCATCCCTCCGACTTTGAGAGGAAAGTGGGTGAAATCCGGGTAGGAACACGTTTTGCGCGAATGTTGGCGGCAAGTTTGATGATTTGATGCTTCGGCCGCTCAGCGGGCTGAAGCGTGTGCGTGCGTGTGTGTGTGAGCGTGCGTGGACGTGCGTGCGTGTGCGTGTGCGCGCGTATGTGTGTGCGTGTGCGTGTGTACATGTGTGTGTGCGTGTGTACGTGTGCGTGTGTGTAGTTGTGCGACAATTTATTTTGATCCTAATGTTCGGTTCTGCGCGCCGCGCTGGACAAGAGCGGACACTCTTTGTCACCTGGTTAGGGTAGGGTAGGTAGAAAAAATGTTCAGTCATTTTCGTGGCTCAGTCCTAACTTATTTTGCAACAACACTGTACCGCTGCCACTGGCCTCACAACGCCGGGACGGGGAGAAAGGGGGAGGGGGCACAAAAGCTGCAGCCATTCCACGGACATTGGCGGGGAGACCTGTCTAAACACGGGTGGTGTGTTCCAAAAGCCTGATCGCCACTGGTGAGGACAGCCAACAGCCCAGACCGCTGCCAGGGCTAGAGGCCTCCAGCAGCTCAGCATCGGGGCGGCCCTGCCGGCGCCGGGGCCGACTCCCGGCGCACCGGAGCAAGCGGCGTCGAGACCGCCAACAGCCCAGACCGCTGCCAGGGCCAGAGGCTCCAGCAGCCCAGCATCGGGGCGGCCCTGCCGGCGCCGGGGCCGACTCCCGGCGCACCGGAGCAAGCGGCGTCGAGACCGCCAACAGCCCAGACCGCTGCCAGGGCCAGAGGCCCCAGCAGCTCAGCATCGGGGCGGCCCTGCCGGCGCGGCCAGCCGGCGGCCGCCAGCGCCGCCACAGATGGCTCCGATCATATGACGGGACGGCGCCAGGCTGTCTGTGTCCGTCTCCGCCCCGCTCCCCCTCCGCAGCAGCCGTTCCCATCCCACCGTCCGCCGGGGCATGGGTGTGGGGCGTCTGGGCCCGCCTGGCCACGTGGCCGTGAACGTTTGCAGGCAATGCAGGAAGGTTTATTTGTGCGAGGCGGCTGGAGGCGGCTGAAGTGCCATGTACGGGAGCTTGAACAAGCTGTTTCGTAAGCAATCGCTGCTGTTGCATGATGGGTGGAATGCCTGGCATGCATGCCCCTATGAAACATGGCTGCTTACTGTTCGTTTGGTGGTTCTTTGTCGTGACGTCTCTTGATTTACAAGCTTGTTTGAATTCAAGAGCTCGTGCAAACGGCGTATGTGCGCCATACAGTGTCTGATGCACAGTGGGAGGAGTGCTTGACAAGCCCGGTTGAAGTGGAATTGGTTTTCATGTATGTGATGTGTTTGTGGTGATGCCTCTAAACCCGGATATATAGCGTTTTGTTTAACATCGCTATTGACGATCATCTAACGCTAATCTTTGTGTGGTGACGGATCTCTCCTGCGTTCAAAGTACACATCTAATAGTTCACTTCAACGATATGCCGCACTCCAATATTGCATCTTTAACCTTGTTCGAGATTTGAAGCACAAGCAATGGTTACGGTGTGTTGGGCTCTTTTAATTTACCCGTCTGCCAATGTTTTTTTGCAGTTTACGCAAGTTGCAGCCCGCCTGCAAACACGTGTTTTGTTGTGGCGTTCTTAAAAAAACATGTGCTTCACCGGAATGTTGGCCGTACGTTACTTACAAGAAATGGTCGTTTCGCAGTTGACAAGCTCGACGCGTTATGCCTCTTATGTTAAGTGCCTGTCCGTGACGCCCGAGATATGGGATGACCCCCCCCCCCCGTCATGAGACGTTGCGGTGGGCATCCATAAGTTGCAGTGCCTTTCGTGAGCGAGCACCAGTGGGAATCGCCGCAGGGTTTCAGGATGGAGGGCTCGCGCAACGGGATGTGATGTATGAACATCAGACAGCCCAGACAAGCCCAGCTAGTCTGATCACTACCGAGAGTGGACTGCCGGCTGCTGACTGGCCAGATAAGACACAAAGGGGAACTGAAGCCCTCGTTAAAGCTTTTTCCACTGGCTCCGTTGACGGGAGGCCTTGGGAAGCGTTTGGCTCGATGGACGCCTCCACGACCGCGAGTCGCAGACGCCCGCTTCAGTCGTCGCCTGCCTGGCGTGTCTCGGCCTCTCACGCACTCGCTGGCGTGCGAGCCCGCGCCGCTAACGGCTCGGCGGGGTTACACGCCTCGGTAAACACTCCGAGGGCCGTCGGGCTGGCTGTGCGGCCGCGGCCGGCCGCGGCCGGTCAGGCCCCAGCGCCGGCCGCGCGGCGGGAACCGGCCTTCCCAAGACGCGACGGGCCGGGCCAGGCCGGCGGCGGGTACAGCTGGGCCAGCGGCGGCACATGTGGCGCCGATCAGGTGACACGGCGCGGCGCCGCGCTGTCTGCCGCCGCCCTCCGCAGCACCCCTTCCCCGGCGGCGGCGGCCAAACAGGACGCAGCCCGGCCCGCCCCCGGCGCGGGGCGCAGCGGGGCCCGGGGCGGGCGCGCTCCTGCTCTGGCCTCGCCACTTGGCTGGCGTCAACATCCTGGGAGGCGCGGGAGCGTGGGGTCGGTGTTCTTGGAAAGCGCTGCTTGCTGCTCTAAGTCACTGTGGTGTGGACAGCAACGCAATGTCGTGTTCGCTTAAACCCTGGATTTTACGCGCATATCTTGCCAAAAATATGGACGTGCAATCTTTAAGCTCTGTCAATCAAAGCCAAGAGGACATCCTCCGGCACCACTTGGCAGCAAGCATGATTACCAGGCTGTACAGAGCGCCATTCTATACCAAGGCTTAAATCGCTAGTGAATCAAACAACTGGTCATTCTTAGTTACCTGCACAAAAGCCCAAAGCTCTATCTGTAGTTAGCTTGTCACTAGTTTCCAACAATATCGCTCATTCATTTCACAATAATGAAGAAGTGAATCTGGCCGATGGTATTTCTTGGACTAATTGGCGTGAAGCGCTGCCCGGCTTCCTTACGATCTCCGCCCCTGCCGGACCCGTTCCTCAGTCAGCAGCACCTCCAGTCCACCCGCTGCAGCGTATCATCCCATCCCCCGGCTCGCCGGCGGCCTCGGCCGTGCTAGGACCGATATTTTCTCAGCGGAAGGGGTGCGGGCGGCCACCCACGGCCGTGGCCGGCTCGCCGCTCGGAGGCGGCCGTTCGTAACACGATCCGGACCCGACACCGCGGCCGGCTCAGCTGTGTGGCTACCGCCCGGCCCGGCGGAGCATGGAAAACAACGGGACGGGTGGGTACAGAGCAGGTGGGAGATTTTGGGGGTTCGGAAGGGCTGATGTGACCTCTTGTCGGGCTTCCTGTGGCGACAGTCTAGTTCAGGAAGAAACTATGCGCTGTTTTTGTTTCAGTATGTGTCACGAGGTCTTATTTAGCGTCAGCCATCCACCAAAACGTAAGTACATCGACATCTTCTCGTTCTCGAAGCCTTTCCGGCTCCGTTGTCTACCCTCCGAAGGACACAATCACTATCTCACGCTACGAGCCTCCAAAGCTGCCGGCCTCACAACAATAACATGGGCGCCAATAGCCGACAAAACACGAACCATGGGAAAATAAACAGCTGGAGCCACGGCCCGGCGGCTCCTCTCGCGCCAGGCTGGCAATTCTAATTTTGACAACTGACCAAATAAATAGTGGCACGGTGGGCGGCGTTTGCGGCGCCGCGCCGTCTGTGCCAGCGCGCCGGAAGTGCCGCCGGATGTGCGGCGGCGCGCCGACGGAGCCGGCGCGCCGGCCGAGACGCTGCCAGCCGGCGGCCGAAGTCCAGGAGAGCAGGCGGTGTAGAGGAGAGGGGGAGTGAGCCAGCGAGGCGGGGGGCGATACGTATAGAGAAAGGGAATAGTGGGCACTTCACGGTTAAAGTGCGGATGGCCACCGTACAGATCGGGATAAGGCTGTGCATGTTCGCGGCTGCATTAAAAGTGTGTGATTTAAATCTCAAAAATTGCTCAGCTTCGGGTTATCTCTTCGTTTTAATTCTTCATTTCCTTCCTAAAATCCTGACATTTTTTTTATCCGAAATGTTAATTATTCACGAAACCTTTCCCTTAGACTCCTTGCTCACTACTTGAAGAAAACATGCTTTCCACGGATATTATTTATGGTTTTCTCCTCTTGCGGCCAAGGTATTGCTATTTAGAAGATCTCGTGACTAAATCGGCTTTGTCATGAATCACGTCCTAAATTATAACCCATGATGTGGACGTTCTTGCGTCACATGGAGCGCTTGAACCAGCGGATACCTGACAACCTTGGCCTCAGCGCAGAAAACATGATTCATTGGCCTTCAGCAGCGCCAACACGAGCTTCGCAGCCAGTTTGTTGGGCCACTCGCGACACGTGATCGCACTTATGATCAGCTTACGCCTGCGGCACCTGAAGTGAAAAAATACAGCTCACTTACAGCTTTGACTGATCCTTTACACCCGGAATGTAATCCAAATCAATCGTTGCTGTGCGTAACCTAAACGCACTTTTCAGTGTCACGCACAGTGATGAACTAGTCCCGTGCATTCATTGCAAAGTTTTTTTGTGATGGACTCCATAGTGTCACTGCCAGAAAGCGGTCATCAAAGCATCGGAAAAATTAAATTTCCGGTATGCTCATGAACAGGAGGGTGGTTTGCAGGGACCAAGTGATTAAATGCTCATGTCTTCATACCATTTTGAATGACTTAGGTCATCGACGTAGGTCATTGGTGAATGCGATTAAGTTCATGAGTCTCTGCAGCGCCGAGCCTAATGACTCACCGTGTCGTTTCAACTTGTGGAAAGCTAACGATTTATTGCTGTGAACCCATGCCAATGTCCGCTTTTCACGAGCTCAGTGATAAGACTGTAGCTAAGAAGTAGGTGGCATGAACATT